CTGATATCTCAGATAAATAGACGTAGTATATATATGAGAGGACGGCTCCCCGCATAGATTCCACGAGGATTCGACGTTGAAACGTCGATAGACAGAGGAATGATCTGTGATCCGTGCAGCTCTATTAATAGGATAGTCTTTCTACCTGCAGGACTAGGGTGTTTGAGATATCCATGCTAATTAATCGATATCACGTAGTAGAGTACTTCTGGCCATGTACCTTGCCCGAGTGACAAGGTTGAAGCAGGTACCTGTTGGTAGGTACTATCTCCAGCTGTCCGGTATCCATATCCACAGCCATCGAACGATACCCCGCTTCTCAAGTTGTACAATGTACCCCGTACAGGCATATGATACCTATGAAGACTCAACTGCTTCAAAGATTAATACTTACTTTGTTATTACTATCACGCCCGTTCTTATCAGTATCAGTACCGATGATATTACCCCGGGTCTGGATGCGCCGTGAAAATCCAGGATCAGGATGAGGGGTAAGACCAGAAACCCCCGCCCTCCTGGCAAAGGCACAAACCAACCAGCTGCGCTCCTCTGAGCATATCATGTCATCACTGATTGCCCCAGAGTCCATTCGCCTTCCTCCGTCCACACTTTCGGCGAACAGGTAAAATGCATGCGCGTAAGCAGGGGCATGGGTCAGCGGTCAACAGGGCGTAGTTGGCCAGTGCCACGTCGATCTACCCCTCAGGACCCGGAGACGCCGCCACCTTGCCCAGTGCATGGTAGTCGGTCAACGGACACCAGTGTCAGCCTGTCAGGATGCAGAGGCGATTTCCGAGCGATTCAGGGAGGCGAGGTAAGGTACAGATACTTTACGATCGGATCCTTCGTCAGGCCAATTGGAAGGATATCTCGGAGTTTGCAGACAAGACTAATGCACAGTCCGCGTTGAAACTGGAGATGGGTGCATTTAGCATTGTGTACATCTCTAGAAGCGTTGGGACCGAGTAACGGACACTCAGAAAGTGCTATTATCAAAGTGCATCCTATGTTGGCCGCTCTGATGGATCAAGCACATCATCAACTCTCCAAGTGGCGTAAAGACCTGACGTCTTAACATCTACTCTCGCCTCCCCTCGGTATGAATTCGTGAAAACATACGTACCTTGTGGTCTACCACACGGCGTTTACCAAGCGATTGACCCCCCATCGATGCGAGATAGATGTCAATAGGCCCCGACCAGACTGACTTTCCTGGTTATCCGGCATGCCGTTTGCAGATCGTCAGATGCTCCGACTTGTTGACATTGACATCAATTAGAACCTAGACAATAGGTGGTTTCGCCCCTATTCTCTCGAAATGTTTGGAAATTCTTTATCTGGATCTCACTGCTCAGTTCCACGGTCTCAAGCCAGTTCGTTCCAGCCGGTCTTCGACCAAATGGATGCACAGGAACAAGCTTTCCACAATGGTCCGTGTCCCGGCAAAGATGAAAATGTGAAGAAAGAGTGTGGTAAGGCAGTCGAGCTGATGGTCCATACATGGTCAGAGATTCTCATCGTAACTCAATTTCGAAGTCTGAAGTGTTCAGGTGATTTGTATTCGCACTCCGAATGTGCTTTGTCCGCTTTGGGCTCAACGGGATAGGTTACAGCACTCTGCAGAGACACTGCATGGCCAGCGTCAGCTTCAGGATGGTGATCGGAGAATTATTCCCAGCCTGATACTTCTGCTTATTCGGCTGAAGAATCAGTGTGAAACCTCTCGTCGTGTCCTTTGCGTGCTGGTCTAATACATATGCAGTCGCGAGGTACTCTGTATTATTCCAACCGACTGTTTGGGAATCTGGTTTACGACAGATCTAAGGTAGGCTTTCCCCTTGCATCACTAATCAATAACAACAAGACAGGTCACATAAAATAGGTCACTTTCTTCCTTCTTACAGACAACAGTGGCTGCATGTCTGGAATAGACCACTCTTTTAGAATGTCGCACAGACTTTGCGGTACTGTGTACACATGGGTGGAAGTAAGGGGTCCTGTATCATAATTCACACATTGCATACCTCACCTCATACTTTTTGCCCATGATTGTGTCGAGAGAGTATCGAGGTTCCCAAAACTTACCAAGACTTGAAGACACTCTGTACCAAAGATCAAGATGGTCAACGTCAACGAGTCCGATGGCCCGGTCAGCGGTATTGTTCAGTCCGTGGCTGCAAGTTGGAATGTACCAGATTCTTCACCAGCTATAGGTATATTATGCCATGACTTTGATATACTCTCCATCCATCTCACATGGCTGTATTCGTCGACAACGGGCCAAAAAAAAAATAATACTTTGAAGTCTGATGGAAAACTCAGCCGATCACATTGCGTGTATATACGTGCTAGTGTGATGGGGTTAAGAGTTCCTGGTGCCTCCTTGTTAGAACTTATCAGGCTTTAAGAGGACCCTCGAGCCCAGCGGTACGACGCCACCAACCAGACCTGGTTCGAGACTGCAGGTAGTTTCTGCCATTTCGGCCTGGCCCAGCCTTACCAGTTCTTTTCCAGCCACCTGGACCCTCTATTATTATTATTGTCGTATCTTTCTTGATGGAGATGGTCATAGTTGAAATCATAATAATACCAGTCAGGTTGTCAACCAAGGTCAATAACCAAGAACTGCGCAACAGGGACGGTCTGCCTGTCTGGTTGTTAGGCGCCTTGTTCCTGAGGGGGGTCTCGTATCCGAGACATACCAGCTACTGGACCAAATCGCCCAGCATGTTTCTGGCAACTGCCAACTTCTTCGAGATTATTACCTCGTTGATGGAGTGATAGCATCATGCTTTCCATCCCTCATATCCTCCCCTTTCAGTATGGTTGCTAATACTGGCTAATGAAGTGTCCACTCACAACACACTAGATACTATTACACAGTACTTGCAGTAAGGTACCCTCCATCTTGGCGCGTTCTTTCATGGTCGCGTCATCCATATGGGCACTCTGAGAAATAGAACCGAGCGATCCATGAAATAATCATCATCTTTATCCATCTTTCCAGGCTTTGACTCTGGTCTTGAGTTGTCCAGCAGACTCCACTCCAGAATTTGCCATCCATGACCCCCATAGCTACCTTGGTTGATGATTCGTGTTGTTGGTTCGGACCAAGAGTCAGTTCCTGGGGCTAAAGTTTCGCATTTAGTCTGCCTTAAGCTATCACCGTATCATATGCCATCATCCCCATTTACTGCCACCAAGCTAGTAAAGTCAACAGCGGCCAGTTCCTAGTGATTTTCCCAAATAGGACTGACTTAACCTTTTAACGTAGATTTGGAAGATAGTGTGAAGTGAAATTGGTGTGAGACGGTTTCTAAGACATAATTGAGTCATTACTGTCAGTAACTGGACGGTACGGAGTAAGCTGGACTGTTCGACGGTCCATTCAGGTCTTTTTACAGCAGTAGACCTACAGAGTAGTAGGTACATTGCTACCTTAGGACTAGTAGTATTTGGGACTACGTTTCTATCCAAAATCTAGGTATCACCGTCAGGCTATCATCAGATCTTGTCCCTGCTTGAATAATGGCTCCACCAAATGCTGTAATAGTTTTAGGAGCGTAGGGTACCTGAATCATTCTGCTGATCTGTTCTTTAACGTACTCCTTTCCCCTCTTCTTCTTCATCCTTGTCTATCTATCTACCTATTCTATCTATCTATCTACCCCTCGCTCGGCCGCCATCCCGCGCCGACCGTTGTTTCCGATAAGCCTCCATTTTGACGACTCGATAACTGGCATAGAGACTGAATTTTGAAGGATCTTGATAGCTATCTAGTAAGTGTATCATCGTCACCATTTTATCCACCGACCTATTTACATTTGTCTGGAACCTGGGGGGCCCGCGGTGGTGGGTTACCGTCATTCATCCTGCTACCAGATCTCTTCCCTTCCGATCACTTCCTCTTACTTTGACTTGTCGCATCTTGCTGACCGTCCTGCAGTCTCGACTTCTCCCTCTCGATTTACCCTTTCTGATCTATCTTCCCTTTTCCATCATTGCTTTTGCCTCTCGTCTTTGTCCTTTTTTTAGTCTCCCTATTATTCTCATCTTTCCCCCTGGTCATCGCGGCTCCATCCGTTCCTTGTAGGTACTTTAGCCGCTTACTACATTTCGCCTCCTCGACTTCTTCCTCTTTTGATCATTGATACCTTATCTGTTCTTCACCTTCTGATAATCAAATATTGACCTCTTATTGTTCTTACTTACGGACGGTGCATCTGAGGCGAGGAACTTGGGCCCAGTACCATCTCCTGGATCAATTTCGTCGGCTTTCCGAGCTGTCTTAAACAAACCCACAACCAAAGGACTCGAAACCGCACGAGCGGTTCAGCTTGGGAAAGTTGATCGACCGAGTCCACCAAACTCGCTCCTGAGCTCCTTGCACAACCCGCCCTTTCCTCCATCTTCCTTATTCCATTTCTTTCCTGTCAGATTCATCCTCATCCTCATCGGTATATACTTTTACCCTTCCTTCGGTCCATCTTCGAGAGATGCTACCGCTCAACGGATGACTGCTCTCTTTCGCCTCTCGTACAAAGTCACTACCCTTGCTTCGTCATCCTCGTCAGGTACTCGGATAGACGGGCGTCTCCCACATTCCTCCTACATTCCAGACTCCCCTCTTTTGGGCTAGCGATTCAGTACGTAGCGGCTTTCCTGTCGTTCTCCTTCCCCTCCTTCCCTTGTATGTGGACCCGGAGGGCAAAAAAAGGTCTACCCCTCTTGGATTCCGTCCCCTTTGGCCGAGATTGACACACTCGTCGTTACATCTTTGCGACAGCGATGAATTTGCTGACATTTGTATGCGCAACCTGCCCAGTCGCCATTACGTGCTATCATTACCGCGCCATTTAACATTTCTCGTCAAATCCTCGGGTTCTTTTTATATCAAATACTACGTCTTTATAATCGTTGGTGGATAGGATTTCGTCAGATCTCGTTTTCGCTTCCTACGGCGGAAGCCACGCCATCACGATCTCTTCGTCGCCGTCAACATGACTTCCTTCTTACCAGTAAATAATACGTCTTCACCGCAAACACGGGCGATGGAGGAGGCTGCAACTCCAACCACACCTCGACCCCAAACGAATGTGTCAGCTGCAGAAGAGAACAGGTCGCGAACTATGAACAGTGGCACAGAAGACGCCACACCGCGGAACGTGCATAATATCCAAGAGGATTCGGCTTCTCGAACAATACCGTCATTAGGACACAATGGAACTTCACATGGGGAATCCGATGCAGACCGTGATGGCTCCGACCATGAGTCCGACGCTGGAGGCAACGCTCCCCCATCAAAGAAGAAGAAAGGGCAACGGTTCTATTGTACAGATTTCCCGCCATGCAACTTGAGTTTTACCAGAAGCGAACATCTTGCCAGACACATCCGGAAACATACTGGGGAGCGTCCGTTTCAATGTCACTGTTCCAGGCGTTTTTCGCGCCTTGATAACCTTCGTCAACATGCACAGACCGTGCATGTGAACGAGGAGATTCCTGGGGATTCGCTTGCAGCTACTGGAACACGTTTCCAACGGCAAATTCGCACCGACAGGGTCCGTCCACAGGGTCGAGCTAGAGCCGGCACGGGAGGTAGTCAGGGAACGCATAGTCGTGGCCACAGCAGAAATCTTTCGACTTCGAGTATCGCATCAACGACATCAACGTACAGTCAACCTCCGGAGCTTCGCCGTCGACCGCCGCCATTAATCATGGCCAATGATGGGAGCGCCAGGGCTCGTCTTAGTCTGGATACGATGGCAGATATGCCCACAACTCCACCAGGCCAAGTGCGCGGCATCCCAGGACCTGCCGTTGCAGTTGGCTCCCCTTACACGCCTTCTCATCATCTCTTTGCTGCTGGTGGCAACGGAAGTCCTCACTTAGCTTCCGCAAGGCCCTCCGCCGCCCACATATCTGCATTCTGGGACGGAAAGACGGCAGCTCGTCGTCTCTCGGTGCCCACCAGTGCAAATCCTTTTTCGTCTCAACAACCGAGCAATTATCCTCCAAGTCTTGTTGGGTCGGCAACTCCTACAACGGCAGCGTATCCGTCGTCGGGCGGAGTCTTCGCAAGCCCCGTCAGCTCTACTCATTCGTTTTCGAGAGAGGAAAATGCGTACAGTGCTGCTGATGCGGATCTGCGGAGACGGACTTGGCATCCTTCAACGCACTTTGCACTTCCCAGACCTGCCACCAGTGGGTTGTCCCATTACCAAACTCCTGATACCGTTGACGCACCGGTCAGCGCGAGTGGCGCGACAGAACAGCCCCCCAGATTGCCCGGAATCGAAAGCTTCGACAAGGTTGTGTTACACCAGCGGCCTCTAACTCCTCCCATCCGAAGGCCTAGTCCGATGCAGATTGACAGCCACAGCAAGCCATCGCCGAGTTATGCTTTAGGAGGAGGTTTCAATTATTCGCAGCCCGCGAACCGACCGGCCCCTCCGATATCTGGGCCCGGTCATCGCCGCGGTCATGTCTCTTGGGACATGTCACTACATACCAATCTCACAGGACTGCATATCAGGGATAAGCCTCCTCCAAGAGACGCATCGCACTGGAGCCAGCAGACGATTGCAGAGTTACAGAATGTATCGTCCCGGCCGTCTTCGTCGTATCAACAACAAGTTCAGGAGTCGCGGGGAATTACTGGGCATTCTTCATATGAGAAGATGCAAGGGTGGTATGGCAGCAATACCTCGGGTTCCCAGGCAACGCGGACATCCCCTGAAGACTCGAGTAGCAGTGAAGGCGTTCACACACCCTCTACAGCATCACTTGAGTACCATCCAGCCATTGTGCACAATAACGGCTACATCGAGTCCCATCCACCTTCCATGACCTGCGATACATCTCACTCAGTACGCCCCCCGTTTCCTGGACATTCGATGACCGGCCACAATCGCTAATGTACAATACAGGCTTGCCCCCCACTCTCACAGTTTTCTGATGGCTGTCAGCACAATGTGAAACCCGATCCACGACCGGATTTCTATCACAATGCGTCCGCGCGAGACTCTGGGATGGGAAGGCTCGAGGCACTTGTTGCAGTCGCCACGAGCGAAAATAAAAGTACTGCAAAGCTATACGGATAAAGAGCTTCCTCTGCGATCATGACCCACACGGATCCTCGACCACAGCTTTCGTATGTTATCCCAGCAGATAGTATCTACTTTGATGTCGCAGCCATTTCTTCCTCGGTTTATCCTTGAAACATTTGACCATCCTGCCGATTTAACCCGAATACTTTTGAATTTTGCACTTTTGCACCTACGGTTCCGCATCAACGCGGAGACGTTTATGAAGTGACGACTGATGATTCATGCGTGGGTTCGTTTTTTTGTCTTTGAATTTGATCGCTGTGGAGGCTTGCTCTTTCGGAAAGCAAGGACTCGTTCGGGTATTCTCGAGTGATCTGTAGCTGCGGTGACTTTGTTTTTGCATGTTCCGGCGTTGATTGAGGGTTTATGTGTTCTCTATGGCATGAAGATACCCTCGGCCTCGATCTCGGATATAGCTACTATGGAAGCGGGGTTTCCTACTCGGGTCGCGGTGGAATTTTACCTACTTAATTGTTTGATATACTTGATCTTCTGTTCACTGCAGCCCTGTGATACGATTCGATTCTGTTTTAGTATATTTGTTGAGCGTCTATAAGAGACTGGGTATAGCCATTGCAATCTTGCAATCTGAGCGGGATAAACTATTTTTAAGGAAACTCTGCTAAATCGGATGTAGAGCCATGTCCTGTTTGGCTGGGTCTGAGCTCACGGATACATGACGTCTACCCCACATGTTACACTCGACGACGTCAAAACCACAAGTACCAAGCGGGTAGGGGTACATTCTCTGGCCATACCTACGAGACGGTCTCCGTAAGATGATCATCAGGTGACGTCGATGGCAAGGTATTCTCCTCGTTGGTGCACCTTACCCCAGACGAATAGGTGTCAGTACTCCGTATAGAGTCCACCAATGTTCAACAGAGGCTGGTTAACTTTGACTGCATGTAGGAGATTACTGTATTTAATTAATCACCTAGCTACGGCCGAGATGGCATTGAATGAGAAACAAAAGTAAAAGGGTAAAGTATTCGACTTGAAGAGGAGTATGGGGTTACAGGACTGTGAGCTGGACAGTAAGCTAGATACCTAGCTAAGGGTAGTATCTCGTCGACAACGTCATAGGCAGCCCAGCCCAGCCCAGTGACCAAGACCATTTCTCCGCCCATACTTCACTCCCTGACCTTGGTTGCTAGCTCTCTTGCGTTTTCTTTTGCCTCTTATTTATTTCAGTCTCTTCTTTCTCTTTGACTGGAAAGATATTCCACGACCAGAATACCTCTATACTCGGGTTTTAAATCAACTGAAGACACAACCTATTCACATTCACCCACCATGTCCAAGAACCGTACCCCCATGTACCTTGGCCTGGGCGCCGCCGGCCTTGTAGGTTACTACCTGTATCGGGCCGGGGGGAGTCCCCAGGTCGCGAAGAAGGAGATGGAGAGTAAGTTTCCTTTCTAGGTCCTGGTTGATAATTTATGGGCTGATTTGCTGATGCCTGTTACTTCCAGTCGATGCCCACAAAGCCAGAGCAAAGATCCCCCGCGGTTCAGAGGCCGCAAGAGCCGGCGAGGAATTCGGCAAGGAGGCCAATGCTACTGTTGACGAGGCGGTAAGCTCATTACCCACCTACCCTTGACGACTACTATCGAGTGATTGGATAGGATGCTGATGTTTTGAGGGTAGATCAACAATGCCCGCACCAAGGCCAAGGCCGACGAGCGCATCCCCGAGATCGCTCAGGATGGCAAGCGCAAGATTGACCAGCTGCGTTACCAGGCGGCGGATAAAGTCCGTGCTGGGGTTGACGAGGTAGACAAGAAGGTTGATCAGTTTGATCGCACGGTTGAGAAAAAGGCGGGCGAGGCAAAGGGGACTCTGTCGGGTTGGTTTGGAGGAAAATAAGCTTTGGGTTCGCTTAACCCCTTTGCTTTGAGGAACTTCGGGCTTGCAGTGATGCATTCAAGTGGGATTTCGAATGGGTTTGGTTCGGACCTGGGATGACGTTACGATTTGGGAGATGAGAATGCCGTACTCTCGTACTTTGATGGATGATCACTTCGTCAGTTGCAGCAGCAAACTTTCGATAATGAACTTTATGATAACTTGCATCTCCAATCAGACCAAGAATGGGCTCGTTCGATAAGATAGATAGGCTTGGATAAGATTGGTGATCTGCATACTCGCGTGGAATGTGGCATTCCATGTAGGTATTACTGTAGTGATCGAGTGGATGCCATTGTCTCGATGCTGTGACTCGGAACTGGAAACGAATTTGCGGCTTCAAAAACTACATATATCTTGTCAAAGGAGTATCGACAGAATATTCTTGAATGAAAATAAGCACGACAGGATTATCCCCAGTTATCTACGGGGTAATATAACCGCATTCGGCACTGTTACGCTAACACGCGCCTTGACGCGTCCGCGCTCCACTAAGAAAAACTAAGGTAACCTAACCTTCAGTCCCCTTCGACCCGTACACAGGGCTACCTATATTCAATTGGAAACACCCCACTGGTAGTTTACTATTTTGCATACCTACCTTACCTTCCTAATATCTACTTATGCTCCTACCTTACTATCATATCTTTTAATCCCACCGTTAGTACAAGGGAAACTGCGATGCCGCGCACTTCCTCGAGACAGACCTGCCTTCCCCGAGGACAGGTCGGCATTCAGAGCTTCGCAAGAGCGACCAAACCAGGCTCAGGGCTGCAAGACACCAAAGCAGCAACTGCACAACTTCCCGTCTCGCCTTCCAAGAAGAGGAAACTCAATGAGCTCGAAAACGTCGACTCCGGCGCAGGAGAGCCCCGCCAGACCACCGTCCCGGAAGAAGCTGGTACGCCTTCCAAAACCCTCCGCTTCAGTCAATTGTCCGTCTCGACGCCCCGGAGCGGTCACTATGCGTGTTCGAAACCTGAGGCATCGCCTGCGCCGCCCTCCTCCCCTTCTAAGCGCGGAGGTGCCAGAGCCAAGCGCCCCAGCAGACCGATTGTCGTGGAGCGTCCGGCTTGTGTGGGGGAATTCTTGGGCTTGCATTCGGCTTTTCTGAAGGCGCTGGCGATTCACTCTGCGCATAACGGGGCAACGACCGCGGCGGATCTGCGGGAATTTCTTCATGCGGTGGAGCGGGTGTGGAAGAAGCGAAAGGTTGTGGTTAAGGATCTACAGCGGTTGATATGGGCTTGGGAACAGGGAGAAGAGGGCAATGGTCCAAAGTATCGGCTTGCGAATTACGGGCTTGGAAAGGTGTGTTTGGAGCGGGTGGCTCGGAATGGGGAACGGGTGGACCGGTTCGACGAAAAGGAATTACAAGAGCGATTCGAGCAGGTCGTGGATCTGCTATGGGAGAAGGCTGTGGATGCGGTCGATGGTGACGAGAGCCGGGTGGATTTCTTCGAGACGCTGGGCGTTTCCCCCGTGCACGACTCTCTGACTCCCTTCACGGCGTTTCGAAAGGGCCAGCAGCGGCTGCAGGATTTGAAGGGCGGAGTGATCAAGCTGAAGACCGAGAAGCTGCGAGCGGACTCGCAGCCTGAGGTCCCCGCCAAGCCGCTGGATGCGACGACCACGCGCCGGAAGGGGCTTCTGGAGCGGATTAAGAGCAAGGAACTTCTTCAGTCGAAGTTGCCGCCGCCGCCGTCGAAGGAGACGCTGCTTCGGCGCGCGGCTGCTGAACGCGCGGAGGAAGTCGTCGCCGTTCTGGCCTTGCTTCGGCCTGTTGGGTATGTGGGCAGCGGGCCGAAAGCTGTTTTGGCCGCCCAGAAGAAGCCATTCCAGCTGGAGATGATCGTGCAGAATGTTCAGGACTCTCTACGAAACCCAATATCATCAAAGGAGGTGGAAATTTGTGTGGAACTTTTGGCTCGACCGGACATTGCTGGACAATGGATTGAAGTCGTTGCCGTGAATCAAATTAAGTCGGTGGTGCTAAAGTCTTGTGCCAGTGTGCACCCCAAGGAAATCAGTGCCAAGGTCTGCAAGCTGGAACTGGATTAGATGATGTTTCTTCATATGACCTTCCGATCTCTTTCCTTTTGGATGTTTTGTGTCATTGTTCGATACCACTGGAGTCATACCTACATGTCCAGCATTACTTTGCATTACGAGCAAGCATCATGTCATTAGCGCTGCATCTGTTACCTGCATACACATCCCTCAAGGTCTCTATAATAATGGAACACATCAATTCAGAGCAAAACTGTTAAATATGCTTTGTAGCATCTGTTGTATTTGATTGGCCCAAAACCAATTCAACGCGAGACGCGCACTCACGTGACCGCGTTGCCACAAGGCGCGTCTGTGGCAGCTCTACTTTTATCTGTCGTCAACAGAAACAGCGACACTTTGAATTGACAAGAGCTAGCTTCCCGACTGTCCTTTCATTGCATCGGACACACGCTAGCACAATGTCGTCTCGACCTGATCTCAAGGTAATCACCCGACGCTGTTAAGTTATTCTATAACCCGGCTAACCACTTCCAGGTCGACGATGAAGTCGGCTTCATTCGCTTCTATCATTCCCTCTCTTCTGACGGCAACGATGAGACAATCCGAGTCTTCGACCGCGGGGACTGGTACTCCGCACATGGCACCGAGGCCGAATATATCGCTCGAACGGTCTACAAAACAACCTCCGTTCTCCGTAACCTGGGTCGTAGTGAGACGGGCGGCCTGCCTTCCGTGACCATGAGCGTGACCGTGTTCCGAAATTTCCTGCGCGAAGCACTCTTCAAGCTCAACAAACGGGTTGAAATTTGGGGCTCGGTTGGAGCCGGCAGAGGCCAGTGGAAGTTGATGAAACAGGCCAGTCCGGGAAACCTGCAGGACGTGGAAGAGGAACTGGGCAGCGTGGGCGCACTCGCCATGGAGTCGGCGCCGGTGATCTTGGCCGTGAAGATTTCGGCCAAGGCGTCTGAGGCGCGTGGTGTCGGAGTCTGCTTCGCGGATGCGAGTGTGCGGGAACTGGGTGTGAGCGAGTTCCTGGACAACGATGTCTATTCGAACTTTGAGTCGATGATTATTCAGCTTGGTGTCAAGGAGTGTCTGGTGCAGATGGACGCGAACAGGAAGGATGTGGAGCTGGGCAAGATTCGGGCTATTGCTGACAACTGTGGGATTGCTATCTCCGAGAGACCTGTGGCGGACTTTGGTGTGAAGGATATCGAGCAGGATCTCACTCGGCTGCTCAGGGACGAGCGTTCGGCGGCCACGTTGCCGCAGACGGAGCTGAAGCTCGCGATGGGCTCTGCGTCGGCCCTGATCAAGTATCTAGGTGTCATGTCCGACCCGAGCAATTTCGGACAGTATCAGCTCTACCAGCATGATTTGTCGCAATTCATGAAGTTGGATGCCTCTGCCCTCCGGGCGTTAAATCTCATGCCCGGTCCGCGGGACGGATCGAGGACCATGAGCTTGTTCGGTCTATTGAATCATTGCAAAACGCCTGTCGGCAGTCGCCTGCTGGCGCAGTGGTTGAAACAGCCGCTCATGGATCTCGCTGAAATCGAGAAGAGACAGCAGCTCGTTGAGGCGTTCGTCGAGAACACGGAATTGAGGCAGACGCTGCAGGAGGAGCATCTCCGCTCCATTCCGGATCTGTATAGGCTCGCGAAGCGGTTCCAGCGGAAGCACGCCAACTTGGAAGATGTGGTGCGAGTATATCAGGTTGCGATTCGTCTGCCGGGCTTTGTCAGCTCGCTCGAGAATGTCATGGACGAGCAATATCAGACTCCCTTGGAGACGGAGTACACCAGCAAGCTGCGCAGCCACTCGGACAGCCTAGCCAAGTTGGAGGAAATGGTGGAGACTACGGTCGACCTGGCTGCGCTGGAGAACCACGAGTTCATCATCAAGCCAGAGTTCGATGACAGTCTGCGCATCATTCGGAAGAAATTGGATAAGCTGCGACATGACATGGACGTGGAGCATCGCCGCGTGGCGAAGGATCTGGATCAGGAGGTAGACAAGAAGCTGTTCTTGGAAAACCACCGCGTGCATGGCTGGTGTTTCCGTCTGACACGAAACGAGGCGGGCTGCATCAGAAACAAGAGAGAGTACCAGGAATGCTCGACCCAGAAGAACGGGGTGTACTTTACCACTTCAACGATGCAGGCTCTGCGCCGGGAGCATGATCAGCTCTCGTCCAATTACAACCGGACCCAGACAGGGTTGGTGAGCGAGGTGGTGAACGTGGCTGCATCCTACTGTCCCGTGCTGGAGCAGCTTGCTGGTGTTCTCGCCCATCTTGATGTCATCGTGAGCTTCGCCCATGCTGCTGTGCATGCTCCTACCGCATATGTCCGCCCCAAGATGCACCCGCGCGGCACGGGAAATACGATCCTCAAGGAAGCCCGGCACCCCTGCATGGAAATGCAGGACGACATTTCCTTCATCACCAACGACGTATCACTGATCCGCGACGAGTCCTCCTTCCTCATCATCACCGGTCCCAACATGGGCGGTAAATCGACCTACATCCGCCAAATCGGCGTTATTGCGCTCATGGCCCAGACAGGGTGCTTCGTGCCCTGTTCCGAGGCCGAGTTAACGATATTCGACTGTATCCTCGCTCGTGTCGGCGCAAGCGATTCGCAGCTCAAGGGAGTCTCGACTTTCATGGCCGAGATGCTTGAGACGTCCAATATCCTCAAGTCCGCGACGTCAGAGTCCCTCATCATCATCGATGAGCTGGGCCGCGGCACCAGCACATACGACGGCTTTGGCTTGGCCTGGGCCATCTCCGAGCACATCGTCACCGAGATCCGCTGCTTCGGGCTCTTCGCAACACATTTCCACGAGCTCACAGCCCTCGCGGACCGATATCCCAAATCCGTCAAGAACCTGCACGTGGTGGCCTTTATCGGAGACGGCACTAACGACAACTCGGGAGAAGAAAAGCCCAAGAAAGAGCAGGTGACTCTGCTTTACCGCGTCGAGCCCGGTATCTGCGACCAGTCCTTCGGTATCCACGTTGCGGAGCTCGTTCGGTTCCCGGAGAAGGTGGTCAATATGGCCCGGCAAAAAGCCGAGGAGCTCGAGGACTTTACGTCTGCAGAGGCCCAGGGGCAGCAGGCTAGCGTGTATATGGACCGGTATTCTCAGGAAGAGGTGGAGGAGGGCAACGCCCTTCTCAAGGGAATGTTGTTGAAGTGGAAGGCGGAGATCGAGTCATCCGACAAGGAGTTGACTGTCGAGGAAAAGAGGCAGATCATGCGCGATCTGGTCAATGCTGATGAGAAACTCCGGGCAAACAAGATCTTCCAGGGTATCAAGGCTTTGTGATGGTCTTTGATATAGCTAATTTTTATGTCTCGGGTATAGCGTAAGGCGTTGGGCGTGCATACAAGGGTCAAATGACTAGATGTACCGGTTTACAATGATATAATTCTGTTCCTAGTCTCCTTCGAGATCTCACAGCAGTGCCACCCTGAGGCCGGCGCACTACTACTACAGAGTATGTACTGGTATGACCCTGTGCCTCGATCACCGCTATATGGCAGTACTGTCGACAAAAGTGCCCAAGCATCAGTATAGTCAACTAAGGAGATTGCGGGTTGCCAATCAATCATCAAATGGCCATGACTCTTCCCATGCGATTCTCTCTGCTTCAGAATGTGCGAGCTGATCTATCAACTCCGTCTTCGCTTGTGTCAGAAGCCTTTTCGCGTCATCATATTGCTCTGGCCGTACAACACCTTTATCAGGCCACAGTTCGCCTAACAACTGTCTCGAGTCCTGCATCAATTCCATTGCCCTGAGTGCACCGGACGCATCTTCGTTAATTGCATCAGCCTCATCCGCAGAAAACTGCAAAGGAAACGGCAGGGTGCCTGAGGCTTGCACGCCTGGGAGACTCGACCATTCCTCTTCAAGCTCGAGACATCGAGACTGGTATAACGCCTCCCGGTCTATAAGGAGGTTTTGAGCAAGTAGCATCATCTCGAAGCTTGTTGTCTGCCGGAATTCCATGGCTCTGAACAGTGTTCTGTTATTGTTATAAGTAAGTCTTCGATATAAAGCTGAGAGCGACATTTGCAGATACAGGTTCTGGGCTCTGGCTTGCTCGGTAGGGTCGACTGGCAGGATAGGACGACCACATCCTTCTTTGCTTCTTGAATAGAGAAACGGCCTTGCGTATCTTCTAAGATTGCAAACGTAGAGTTGACAAACTGGAATAAACGAGACAATATCCTATGCAGATGATACTGTAGAGTACGCGTATCCAAAGATATCAAAACAGCAAAAAGAGAGTGTGTTGTAGTAGGAATGAGGAGCGCGCGCGCGAGAGAGAGAGAGAGCAAAAGGCACCTTACAAGGTTTCAGGGGACTGGAGAGCTAGAACAAGAGGAGAGGGGCGCTTCCTCATGCCATTTATTAGGGGTAGCTGCGGACCAGCTTTTTACAGCTATGCCTGACATCTCCTCTATCTAGCCAGTGCATCTTGACTTCGTTGGTGAAGTAGCTAGAGAACAATAAGAGTGAGCGCATCACATGACTCATCCAACTCGCCTTCTTAAAGCGGCAACTCCAGCAATATGCATGGGTTACTTTGTATAAAGAGATCAACAACTCAAATACCAGGAATCTAGGTAGATTTTAATTCTGATCAAGTTCGCGCTGGAATATAATACAGTCTTTCATTGACGGACCCTCTACTAGGCGCCATTGCTCGGCCACACAGCTACTAGCCGATAAGCTGCAGCTATACCTATTCTGGTCAGGTTCTAGACTAGCACGGAGTTATGGAGGACAACCGCTCTCGGCTCCTAGGACTCCGTATCTCGGCCAGATGTGGTACTCTACACAAGCAACTGCAACAACCGCAACGACACAATAACGAATCTCAGACGAGACAGTCTGGTATCTTGTCGCGAAGAACTGGCTTGACGCTCTTTCTCCCCAGCTACTAGAATTTACTCCGATCACCAGTTCTCAATCTCCCCTCAACGATGCGCGCAGACTAAATCACAAAGGCGGAAACGCTAAACGACTCTGGATTCATGCACCCCTTTTCAATCCTCACTCTCGGTATCTTCGTAGCGGGCTATATCACCGCAAGGTGGGATCTTGTTACGCGGTTATACGAACTGGCCATTTTTGCATGGGATCACGGTGTCGTGGTGAGTGCGTCTCGGTTCGCGCAACCGCTCCTACCTGGAATTGATGGCTGCCGACACAGGACCACAAATGCGAGGACAATTGAGCTAATAACCCTTGTTCGCAGACACGAACAGCCAAAGGCTTTTTGTTGCTATCGGTCTTCTTCTTCCTCTTGGTCCTTCCGATCAACCATCTTGCGACAAAGGAAGCTGAATTGGTAAGTGGTCCTGTCCGAGTCAATTGCTGTTGAGTGATCGTATGCTGATGCTTCCTTTTGTATGGTAGCACCCTCGCCCGCCGCATCTGGGTGTGTCCGCTCGCGAACAACTACGCCGCCGAGGCTCTTTCTAGTCCGGATCGAAGGATGACAACATGCTCATGGGCGATGGATTGCTACGGGTATTCTGGCCATACGACCTCCCTCGGTCCTCATCGCCGGGGGTGATTGTCGGATGGAGGAATTCTGAACTGGATTTGTTCGTCCTCACAGTGTTGGAAGATGTTGAGGTAAGTTAACTTTCTGGCCCGAGCGGCAGGTCAGCTTGGGGAGCTGACGGTTGACTCATGTGATAGCCTCGAAATGTCGACAATGCACTACGTGCTGGAATCCTCTTTCGCAACAGCCCTCATCCGATTGCGCGGATATTCACGCTTTGTGGCAGATCGACGATGCATGTTCTGGGATCAGCTAATCCACAAGACCCGCCATCGGCATTTAACCCGGCCCATCTCTATGTGACAACGCATCCGTCGTGTAAAGTCCCTCGGATATATTGTCCCCCGGAGGCGAATATATCTGTCCAGGTTATCATGTTCCATCGTCCACATCCAACCAGGATGGAGTACATGTCCCTGGATCCGATTTCCCTTGCTCTGGGGGATAAAGTGTCCGTCGCCGATAAACCAGAGGTTGTACCTGCGACCATCGATGCCGAAGAGGAGCGGGGTAGAGCAGCGCGGGATAAGCTGGTTGAGAAGCTGAAATTACACACAGTCGTCAAACATATGCCTTCGCCTAAGGAGCAAGCACTACCTCTCATCATCAACCAGGTCAATTGTGCTTATGAAATGGGAAAATTGATGGAAAAGAATAGCCATCTGATCGGGATCCGAGTTAAGCGAAGTATGAGCGTGGGGGAACGCGTGGTCGAGTCTGCAACAACTCTGTGGGACCTCGTTGTCCTCGGGGTCTCATATGTGTTCTGGCAGTGGATCTGGCCGGTGGCCACTCGTATTTTCATCATCGGCCTCGTCTTCCATCGTACGATTGCCGAGGTTGTTCTGCAGATACTTGAGTGGCGAGCTCGTCCTGATGCAGCTGCCTTGAAGGACATCTCTGCGACGGCTCAGCAGGTCGACATTCGACTCCAGCAATTTTGCTACTGGCCGATACAGTACGTTAAGCTGCGCCAGAGGAAGGATGACTGGGAGAGTGTTACTACGAGTCATCCGGATTACATCCGTTTCTACAACAGCTTGTGGCTCGTTGCCAATGATGTGATCATCGGTATTGCGCTGGGATCATACATCATCGACAACGCCAATTGGGTGGCTTTCCAAATCAACAGTGTCCTCACTGGCTGGACAGTAGAAGGACTGCAGCGGACTATATCGTGGTTGATGGACTGGCCGGCCGGGCTGAAGCTTAATAACGAGCTTGCTGCATTCTTGGGTGACCTCTTTCTCTGGGTCATTGAGAACTGGGCCGGTATGCATTTTCTTCTACTAGACCTATTGTTCTCTCGCGCTAATTATGGAGCAGCTTGCATTGCGAATCTACAGCCTTACCTCCCACATATCATATACGTCGTTGGATGCTCGAGTTTCGCTGGAGCCAGCATGCCGATCGCCCTTTTTTCAGATCTGGTCTCCATTCTAACTGTGCATATCTACTCGTTCTACGTTGCGTCCGCCCGCATATTCAATTGGCAGCTTACTATCATCATATCTCTCTTTCATCTCTTCCGCGGCAAGAAGCGCAACGTCCTTCGGCATCGGATAGACTCGTGTGATTACGACCTTGATCAGCTTCTGCTCGGCACTATCCTCTTCACAGTTCTCTTCTTCCTTCTGCCGACTGTGATTGTATTTTATCTAACGTTTGCCTCCGCGAGAATGTTGATCATCTCGCTAAAAGCGGCACTTGACACATGTCTGGCTTTTCTCAACCATTTCCCTCTGTTTGCGTTGATGCTGCGCGTGAAGGATTCCCGACGGTTACCAGGTATGTTGGTTTTGCTCATCTGCTTGGTCAGCAGTCACTGACTGAATGTGAGGTGGTATTCGTTTCGAACTACGTGAGGAGCAGGACAAGTCTCTTCATCCGTACTCCACTATGCCTTTCATCCATCTCGAGGTATGTTCACTTAATTCATCGTTCCATTGGATCTACTGCCAGAGCAAGTCCTGATTGAGATAGTCGATTCCACTCCCTCTCCGTGCCATGTTTGACCAGTACTTCCAACTCGGTCATCGTCTTCGGAAGCACTATCTTTCTCCGCGCGTGATTTTCTGCCTCTTCACTGGCCGTTTCGTGCCTCCCATCCACCGCCGTAATCTGTACAGTATGCAGTACAGCATGCTCCCTGCGCATCGGGCAGGTATGGCAGAGGTGTGGTCTCTACTGACCCAGCCCCGAAAGACAGGCAGTGGTAGCAGTGGCTCTTCTTCGATGGGAGGGGCCACGGCTGCCAATGGACTACTTAGGGTTCCATCGGGGTTTGCGCAAGGAGATGTCAGACGACGGGGTCACCGGTATTAATGCTTAATAATGTAAATAATATGACATGACGCATATAATCAAGAGATTTAACGCCTAGTCTGTTGCACGGTCTGGTTGCCTCAGTGCTTGCACACGATGCTTTAGGATCATTTCCGATCAACAACTTGGGCTAGCATTTCGCTCGGAAACGTCACGTAACCTCCGGATATGAGTACATAATGAATGAAGGTACAAGCATGCGAGGAAGTCGTCAAAGTATTATACATTAGAGAATCCGGTCGTTCTCGAAGACAGGCCACTTCCAATCAGTGGATATATATAGCTCAGATAGACAGATTCGAGTATATGTTCAAGCCATCACACATGAATTTGCCATAGAACTGGTAGCGGGGTTTTGAGCGGAAACCGTCCAAGGAAAGCCGAATACTAGTCGCAGCAATTCCCGACTTAGTCATGGAGGGCAAGCATCCAAGAAATGTTGCCTGCAGGAGCGGAGATGAAGGAGAGCGTCCCCAATGCAGGGGACCAATGACCGACGTCACTTCATGATTTCCGGAGATAGTCAGCATCACTCTCTGAGGCTGTACTTTTTCTCGCCTCTTCGACCATGGTGTCAATGCCTTTTTCTTTCAACGCTTTCTGATGGAAAAGTTAGTCTAGATCGCAGAGATTTTACGAAGTCTGCTTTGACATACATGTAGACAAGATCTGTACTTTGAGAATAGTTCTTCGCATTCATTTGATGAGGTTTTGCCACGTAGGTATTCTGTGGTGGTTAGCGGGCATTATTTACATTGCTAGAAGGAGAGAATAGATGCGTACTTTCGCTGTACCACTTCAGAAAACAAGTATCGTACTTTCTAGTGGGCGTCAGTTCAAGCTCTTTGTCTGTGATAGCTGGTGGCAGTAGCTGGGGAAATATACTCTTTCAGGTCATTGCATTCGGGGGCTATGGAAGCTGCCATGGTGAGCTAGCTTAGTGTGTCTGGACCGATTTATGTATTTTAAAGAGGTTGGAATGTTCAGAACCTCCTCTCTTTCACCGCATTCAATGTCTCGCTGTCAATGGGATTGTCTATGGAACCAGTATACTTGGAGTCGAGAACTTGTAGCTGGAGAAGATCGCCGAGATACCGCGGCTAGACTG